CTGAGCACCCACATGGCAGCTAACAACCCCCTGTAAATCCAGTTCCTCAGGATACAACACCCTTCTCTGGGGTCCACAGGCCCTGCACACACGGTGTGTAAGACTTTCATGCAGGCAAAATCTCCATGCATAGAAAACAAAAAAAAAAATCCTTTTACAGAACAGAAATCTACATATAAAGTATGTGTGTATGTGTACATGTACATGCACACACGTACATAATCAGGCATATTTATATGGTAGAGAGTGACTGAAGGCTCTTTATTATCTCTCTCTGGCTGCCATGTGTCTTCGTTAAGATTACTATTGCTCAGCCAGGCGTGGTGGTGCACACTTTTAATTCCAGCCCTCAGGATGCAGAGGCAGTGGATCTCTGAGTTCAAGGCCAGCCTGGTCTACTAAGCAAGTTCCAGGACTGTCGCATCGACAGCGAAACCCTGTCTCAAAATCCAAACACAAACAAACAAACAAAAAGGTTGTTGTTGCTATTGGTGTGATGAAACACCATGACCAAAAGCAAACTGAGGGGAAAGGGTTCATTTGGCTTCTGCTTCCATAGCACCATTCATCATCAATTCAGGACAGGATTCAGGCAGGACAGGAGCCGGGAGGCAGGAGCTGACGCAGAGCCCATGCAGAGTGCTGTTACTGGCTTGTTTACCATGGCTTCCTCAGCATGCTGTCCTACAGAACCCAGGCCCACAAGCCCAGGGATGCCGTCACCCACAATGGGCAGATCCTTTCCCATCAAGAAGTAATTAAGAAAATGCATGGCCATTGGGCACTGCTAGTCGCCTTTAATCCCAGTACCTGGGAAGAGGAGACAGTTTGAGGCCAACCAGGTCTACAGAGTGATTTCCAAGACAGCCAAGGCTACAAGATAAACCCAGTCTTGTGGTGGGGGTGAGGGGACGCTTCCTTACAGGCTTGCCTGTGATTCAAAGTTATGGAGGCATTTTCTTTTTTGTTTTTTGGTTTTGTTGTTGTTGTTGTTGTTTGTGTGTTTTGCTTGGCTTTTTTTTTTTTTTTTTTTTTGAGACAAGGTTTCTCTGTGTATCCCTGGCTGTTCTAGAATTCAGAGTAGACAAGACTGCCACCGAACTCACAGAGATCCACCTACCTTTGCTGCCAAGTGCTGGGACTAAAGGCGTGCGCCACCACTGCTAGGTGGAGGCTATTTCTTAATGGAGGTTGCCTCCTTCTGGTGACTTTACCCTGTGTCAAGATGACATAAAACTAGCCAGCACATCTCACAAATGAACATGTGTGCATGTGCACACAAACACATACACACACAGACACACACAAGAACGAACACCCACACACAAAAACAGGCAAATGTGAGTAGGTAGGAAAACAGTAGAAATATCTGGTCACAGAATCTTAATGGTTCAATCGAGAGATTCCAGTGAGTGGGGAAAGGTGTAGCTGTCACGTGTCCTCTGACTAGCAGGATTAGGCACTAAACCTCCATCAGATCTACATAAGCCTAAGGCCAACTCTCATAAACTAGCAGGGTGATGCAGGTGTCACCCACCAGGAGACACTTCTTAGCCACAATATGCCCTTGTCTCCATTCCTAATACTTCCCTCAAAGAGAAAGGCCTAGCTGGGCCTCAGCAGCTCTTGGGACCTGCAAGGTCATCGAAACAAGGACACAGTGGACACAGTGGACAGCTCACAAGTGGGTCTTAGTGCTTGGCACCTCTTTCCCAAAACAGTTACCGGATGTAGATCCTGTTTGGCTCAGGCATCCAGTAAGTCAAAAGGCTCATGCCTTTCAAAGTCCTTGGCAAACTTCATCTGTCACTACTGATGGAGAGAAAGTGACAGTCAATGCCTTTAACAAGAAACTATTTAGTTCTGATTGAACAAAACACTTAGAGTCTTTACTTTTAAAACTGAACACCAGCCAAATTACATAAGCACTTATATAAGGTGAATATGGAGGCGGGGCAAGGGTGTGGAGAGTTTGAGGCCAGCCTGGGCTATGTGGGCAGATCCTGTTGTTTCATGTCTTCAGAAAGGTCTTGTTTATAGACTTGAGAGAAGCCAGCTAGCCCTGCAGCCCATCTAACCACCATGGTGGAGACCTCCTATGTGGTGTCCCTGGGACAGAGTGGCACAGGCCTTCCTCTCCTGAGCCCTTAGACATCTAAGGGACACAAAAGAGGCCAATGCAAGAGGAGCTGGGGAATTGGGGACAGGGTGTAGAACCCTGAGCTGTGGTGGAGCCCAGGCGTGTTCTTATGTACAGGGTCCACGTGTACTGTGGTGCTGTAATCTGTGTTCCATTGCTGTGACCAAACTCCCCAGACTCAGCACTGTATGTGGAAAGAGGTTAATTTGGTTCATGGTCTGGAGTCTTGACAGCCCCAGATAGGGCAGCCACATCTAGACACTGCTTGCACTGTGTGGACTCAGGGTGAGGGGTGGGGAGGGGAGGGAGCTGGTGGAGTCAGAACTAGAGCAGGGCTCGGCCTGCTTGTCACCACCCACATCACTGCCTCTCAGCACTGCCACACGGGGGACCAAGGCTCAAGGTGGGGCTGCTGTGTGTGGCCTAGCCAAGTGCAACCATAGCTGCCTGTCCCTCTTACATGGTGTTTGATGATGTCTGAGGATTGATCATCAAATCTCACAGCCAGGTGAAGGGCGAGCACATCAGCCACTGAGGGCAGAGCATTGGGAGGCCCTGCTTCTCACTGGAGTCACACTTATGGCAAATGGTGTCCTGCCTCATGCAGAGATGCTCCAGGTGACAAACAGGTCAGGTAGATGATAAGTTCTAGAATACAGAGACACAGAGTGGTCAGGTGACCTGCAGAGTCCAAGGAAATGAAGACTTGGTGCTTCCCTCCTGTAATCCCTTCTGTGGATGGCTGAGGCAGGTGAGTCCCCGGTTAGCTGTCTGGGATCCCTTTACTCAAAAGACAGACATTGTGGGGGGGGGGGGCCTCCAGCTGCTGGCTTGGGCTGCTCCGTTGCCATCCCTGTGCCGCAGCGTGGACAGAAGCAGGCAGCAGGTGGCACCCTCTGGTGAGCAGGCCTCACACTAGCTTAGACCCAGAACCTCATGGTTAGGAAGGGGACCTGCTTGGCACTCACAGTGCCGCGGCCCTCGGCCCTGGTGAGCTCCTCTGTCTAAAGACACCACAGCTCCCCTATTCTGGAAAACCGGACCTCAAGTTTCCGTCCTCTGGATTGTACCCTTTCGCCCTTCCTCAGACTCTGCTCTGCCCTCGCTTGCTGTGACCCTTCCCTTTCCTGCCCTGTCTCCTGTCAGAGGCTTCAGCTACCACACATCCAGTTCCTTGCCTGCTGACCACTCAGCTGTCACTCCCCTGCCTCAGCCTTTGAGGTAATGTCTGCTGTCTTCTTCTCCGTCAGTGTCTGTTCAGGCCACACCCCTGAATGTACTGCAAGAAGGTCACGGCTCAACAGAGCCTTTCATGAGGCCTAAAATGGCAGTCCCAGGGGAGAGAGTGAGAGTGTGTCTCCAGCGCAGGGAGTGGCCTGAGCGGCCACCTCCATAGTCAGAGGGGCACTGCAGCCTGCCACAGCCTGCCTCCCAGCACCCCCTCTGCGAGGCTCCTGGAGGAAGGTGCTTCCACTCTGGCTCAGGTGGAAATGGTTGAATTGTATAATGGCAAAACTCTTCAAGGCACTCTGAAACAGCCTTACTGAGGCTGTGCTTTCCCAAGCCGGGGTAACCAGCCCAGATTTCCCTCTAGTTTTCCCAAGGTACCTGTGGAGTCTTCAAAATGACTGGTGCTGTCCCCAAGGCAGTCAGGCCGCCTTTCTGAGGGACAAGGCAACCTGAGCAGCAAGGCAGAGTCGGGCAGTGGCCAATTAGTGACTCAGACTGCTCCACACTGAAATATCTTTCCTTAGTTATGATAAAATGACTATGAGGCAGTTGTCTTAATGAACACACTTATGATGATATTAACAGGGTCTCACAGAGTGGCTCTTGCTGGCCTGGAACTCCCTGTGCTGACCAGGCTGACCTCAAACTCACAGACATCTACCTGCCTCTGTCTCCTGTGTGCTAGGATCGAAAGTGTTTGACACCACACCAGGCATTGTTAATGGATTTTAAAAGTGCTTACAGCCAGCCACAGGGAGAGCTGAATTCACCACACACACACACACACACACACAGAGAGAGAGAGAGAGAGAGAGAGAGAGAGAGAGAGAGAGAGAGAGAGAGAGAGAGAGAGAGAGAGACATACCACTCCCTTCTTAGGAGGTTTATGAACACAAGATTAACCTGGGAAAGATCCTGTTTAAAAAAAAAAAAAAAAAAAAAAAAAAAAAAACAGAAACATCAACAAGAGGTATAAGAGGTCCAGTTTAGCTGGTAGAGCACACATTTAATCCCAGCACTCAGGAAGCAGAGGCGAGTGGATCTCTGAGTTCAAGGCTAGCCTGGTCTACACAGAGATTTTCCAGGACGCCAGGGAAATGTGTAGAGACCCTGTCTCAGAACAAAACAACAACAAGGAAAAGATCAAGTTGAAGGATGACTTCAACAGCAGGAGGACTTCAGGGTTAGAGAGTGGTTCAAGGGAGCCATGAAGCAAGGGAAAGATGGGGCGGGGACAGAAACAGTCAGAGCAGCGTCCCCAAGTGTCTGGGATCTGGTCTATCCTAAACATTGACTACTGGGGAGACTTTTAAGTAAACCTAGAGTTCCCTTCCTCACAGGGTGTCCTAGGGCTCATCCTGGAGGCCTGGTTGAGGGGCCTGTTGCCTGGCGCCCTAGTCATCATTTCCTTTGGTCTTCAGATGAAATGTGACCTTAAGCAGAGCTCTAAAAATGGGACCAGGCTGAGCCAGGGCCCTTTGTTGACCAGGATCTTATCCTCTTGCCAAAATACACATCTCCCCTGACACATTCCCAGGAAGTTTCACACAGTGATCTGGGAGGAGTCTGGAGGGGCTCAGACACAGCCCCTTCCTGCCCACTGAGCAGCCCAGGGCAGGTATAGAAGGGACCTGAGCTAGGTGGGGCCCCCTGCCGCCATTACCATGAAGCTCCCTGGTGCTCTCGTGTTGCTTGGGGCTGCCCTGCTCCTGACCTCAGGGGGAGGTGGGTACTAGGCTGTGGGTGTTGGCGATTTTGGGGTCTTCAGGGCGCTCACACCTTCACTGCCCCAGGAAGGACTCCTGTGTTCTGACACAAGGTTTCAAGCGAGGATCCCCTTTTCTTTGTGTTCCAGATTGTGACATTTGCCCAGCTATAAAGGAGGATATTGACCTTCTTCTTGGCCAGTCTGTGTCTGACTATGTTGGGTTTGTGGAGCGATACAGTAATAGCCCTGCCGTATTGGAAAATGCTGAAAATCTGAAGAAATGTGTTGACAGCAAGTTGACACAGGAAGACAAGGAGAGTATACAAAGTTTAGTGGTGAGTTCTCTTGTGTCTGCCCGGGTGCCTGTCCTCTGCCCTGCTCCCCCCAGTTAGAGATGGAGCCTGTGTTCCTCCCCACCACTGCAACTTCTCTGTGCATCCAGAAAGTTGCCTCTCCCACCTGATGGTATCAGGAGGATGGGGCAGGAAGGGACACTCAGGCAGCCTGAGCTAGGCCTGGCCGTTCAGCTCCACCCAGCCAGACTAGACCCTGAGGATCCCTGCCCCCTACAATACCACTTGGCCTCCTGCAGCCTCTGGCCCAGCCTTCTGGGTGCAGCCACACCAGCTCAGGGCCCGGCACCCTTCTCCAGCCTGGGTCTTTTATCCTAACTTGTCAAGTCTACCACCGCATTCCCAAAACACTAATTTTGTTCTTGTCCTCTGGATCTCCAAGGCCACTCTGTGGAATCCAGGCCTAGGTGACTCAGGTGCAGCATGTAATTGAGTCCCCTCTTGTCCCTAGAACTAGTAGCATCAGTCACCACCTCAGCTGCTTGTGTCTGAGGGTCATCATGTGACAGGAATCAGCTCACTTCTGGGGTCACAGCTGCCTGCAGGCTCTCCTGAGCCACTCCAGGTCCTGCCCAGATGTCTCTCCATTCTGTCCCTCATGTGCCCATGGTGACCTGAGTGCAGGTGGCTCTTTCCATCAGGCTGGATTGGAGGCTGTTCACAATGCTTGCCCTGATGTGGTTTTAGGGAGACAGGATGGAGAGGTGGCTCCCTGATCCTAGTCAGGCCCAGGAGCTCTGGCACACAGGTACAGGTCCCTCCCTAGAGGTGTCCTGTGTATGATCAGAGACATCTCCTTCACCTCTGATGGCTCACTGGCTTTCTCTTTGCAGGCTAAAATAGATGCTAACAAATACTGTTGATGAATCCATCTGTGCCAGAAGACTCAAGGAAGCCACTTGCCTGCTCACCTGCATAGATGCAGCAAGCCCTACCCTACCCTCCAGGTGTCTAAACCAGGATTCCAACAATAAAAGCCTTGCAATTCACAGGGGAGCCTGACTGTTTGGATTTGAGATGGGGCATTGCTTGGGTTGGACAATATGGGGGGAAAAACCAATGGACATTGAACTATCACTGCTCAGTTGCAGCAATGACAAAATACCCAGCAGAATGCATTAGGGCATGCCAGGAGACCACAGTCACTGCAGCCAGAGTGTCTGTGGGACACGTCCATAGGGCACACATATGACCTTCCCAACTGAACTCCCAGGAGCATGAACAGTGAAGGGACAGAGAGGCCCAGTGTATGCTGAGGATGTCACAGCCTCTGCACAGCAAAATCTGTCCTTTCTGCCCCTTGCGCGTGACATGGGCCAGTTGTGTAGAGTATTGTGTCACAGGGCTCCTCTGGTTCGTTGTGTCCCATCTATAAAACTCCCTGCCTCAGTGGAGGGTGGTGGTGCACGCCTTTAATGCCAGCCCCTGGAAGGCAGGGGCAGGTGGATCTCTGTGAGTTTGCCAGCAGCCTGGTCTACATTGTGAGTTCCAGGACAGCCAGAGCTGAAGAGAGAAACCCTGTCTCAAGACCAATGAAAAACACAGCCTCCCTCTCTCCAGGCCTACAGTGAGGCATCACACCCCTGGCATGAGAACAAAATCCTGGCCTGAAAAGAAGTGCAGGACCAGGCCAGAGCCAAGGGTTCAACCTCAGAGTGTTCTACTGCCATTCCACAGTTCTGAGCCCATCCATCCCCAGTGGATTATACCCTGTGGGACCCAGGATCTTAGAGGTCCAGAACCCACGCTGTGGTTCCACTCTGTGACCATGGCAGTAGTCCTTTCCCACACCAGTCACCAAATAGTTGCCTTGTGGCCAGTTGTGAGGCCATGGGTCGCCCTGCTCCATCAATGAGCCGTGTCCCCATGTGAATCTTCGGTTTCACGCCACCAGGCTAAGGATGTATGTAGGTTCCTCATAATGCACAGGCTCATGGGAAGCCCCAGGGGTGCAGGTCTTCTCATTAGAGGCATAGAGTGTATTATTCTTTTATATAAGGCCGTGATAAATTACTGAAGGCTGGATATTATAAAGAAAAACGTCATCATTTTGAAGGCCAAAGTTCTGCAGGCTCATCTTTTTAGCCTCTAGTGAGGACCCTTCGGCTGCATGAGACAAAGGTGCAGAAAATCGCACTAGTCACGAGGCCAAGTCATCGTGGGGGTGGCCTCCAGCCCTCACACAGGGGGACCCCCTCACCCAGACCCCTTCCCAGGGCAACACCCCAGTCACCTTTTCGCCTCCCAGTTGTCTCCCCTCTTACACGTCTCTCATGTCACCTCACTGGGGACCAAGTTTCCAGCACAGGAACTGTTAGGGAACACAAGGAAACTGAATCCAAAGCAAACCGCGCAAGAGGAGGCCCATAAGGTCTAATGTCTAGGACCCACTACTCTGACTCAAGCATCCGGCTGGACGGTGCTTCTGAAGGGGGCCTCTTGCCTGCGCAGGGGCTAACTTAGGGTTGTCTAGGGGCTTATGAAGACCGTGTGCTAAATCCCCAGTCCCCATGTGGGACTCAGGGGGCTTTCCTGCCATGCTCCTTTCCACAGATTGAAAAACTCAGGGCTTCTTTGTCTGGGGCCTGCCTCAGCTCTCAGCAGCCATTCAGCATGTCCAGGCCCTTGGACTCAGTCACACAGCTCTACAAAAACTAAGAAGCCTGGGCTTCCAGAGAGAAAGGCACCAGATGGATTAGGTAGGCCTGGCCTTAGGCAGATGGTGTCATAGCCTTCAGTGAGTGTGAAGGTGTCACGTGTGAGAGGGCCGGTTTGTCCTCACTAGCACACCCGGGCTCCCCTCCCACACAGCTCCCCGGGGACTTACATCAGACTGCCATTAGCTGCCGCCCCTTCCCCTTCTCAGTTGCATTCTCCAACCTACAGAGTCGGAACCCTCTAGGGTCAGAAAGGGTCAGCATGACATGACCTTCCAGATCTTTCAGGCTCTGCCATCCAAGCCAACCTACTGAGCTGCCTGCTAACTGTGCAGTGCGCTCCAGGATCCCAGCGTTTGTGAGCTGTCTTTGGTGACGCGGCTGTCTTTGAGTCGTGAGTGCTCCTGTCCCAATAAAACTTACTGGTTTATCAATTGGACTCCTGTGGTACTTGTACTTTAGTCTGCCATTGACCCCTTCTTTGGAATGAATAGACACTGTTCACATCTTCTTGGGAACAGTGTCAGACAACAGCTAGCGAGACGGCTCCGTGGGTAAAGGACCTTGCCATTAAGCCTGACAGTCCATATGGGCTTAACTCCCACAGCTGTCCTAGGGCTTCCACGGGTGTGCCCTGCCATGCAGATACTTGTACACACAGTTTAAAAATGTAAAAGAAAAAAGAATTAGCTTAAAGAAAGTGAGGCAAGGCGTAGTGGGTGCACACACATTTAATCCCAGCATTTGGGAGGCAGAGAGGCAGGCAGAGCTCTGAAAGTTCAAGGTCAGACTGGTCACACTGTGAATTCTGGAACACCCCTGTTGTAGAATAGCTTCCTTTGAGAAGGAGCCCTTCTGTCCTGCCAGAAGCTCTTTAGGCAGCAAGCTAAACAACTCACAAGAGCTTCAGTCTCTCTGTGCCAGAGGAAGCAATAAAACCGAGAGTTCGTCCTGTTGAGCCGCCTGCAGGCTGGGCTCCAAATTTCCATTGATTGTGAGCTGTCACTCATGCTGTCGTGGGTTTTGGTGATGCAGCTGTCTCTGAGTCATTTCTGCTCCTGTAAGTGACCCCGATAAAACTCCTTGATTCACCAAGTTGGATTTCTCTACCTTGGTCAGTCTTGGGTTCCCTATCTGGGGTGAACAGAAGTGGCCTGGGTTTCTCCAGGAAAAGTTTGATCGCACAACAACTACACAGTGAGACGCAAAAAGGAAGTTTGCCCAGTCTGGCATACAAAGTGAGTTCCAGGACAGGCTCCAAAGCTACACAGAGAAGCCCTGTCTTTTTGGGTTTTTTTTTTTTTTGGGGGGGGGGGTTGGTTTTTCAAGACGGGGTTTCTCTTTATTGTTTAGGAGACTATCCTGGAACTCCCTCTGTGTGTAGACCAGACTGGCCTAGAAGTCACACAGACTACCTGCCTCTGCCTCCCAAGTGCTGGGATTAAAGGTGTGTGCACCACTAATGCCCAGCGAAGACATCTATTATCATGTATATAGGGCTGGTATCAAATATTTCCCTTAATCCTAGAGACACTCAAGCCCTCACACACTCCACCCCAGCACATCTCACTAGCCCTCAGGGTGGATGCAGACTCTCCCTGGTCCAGGTCTTTGTTATACAGAAATAGGAGCCATTCCCCACCAAAGCCTGGCATCCAATGAGGTGGGGCCCATTTTCTTTCCAGAGAGTTCAAGGAATGCTGTTAGGAAGTACTTTAATGGTAGCAGAGAAATTTTAACTTTTATTTGTATGCATACTGGGAAAGGCAACAATAAGGAAAATAATAATTATGAGGGAATTTATACTTTCAGAGAAAAATCCTCTAGACAAATGACAGTCCCCAATTTTTCTTATTCTATATTACATCAATTGGCTTCTTGATATAGTACAGAAACTCTGAATTTTATTTTAGCAACATGCTTGGATTTAGAGGAGGAAAGCCAAATGCAACTCTAACACCATCGTTGTTTTACTTGAATAGGGACCAGGAAGTAAAGAGAAATAGATTTTATCAAAATACAGCTGTAGAGTTTATCATACGGCAAATTCCTTTTGTTTGATGGATCTTTTTGGATAACTATCCTCTCTTCTTTAAGTATCCACCCATGCAGTGTCTTTTTGCTTTCTGGAGATGAGTATTCCTGTGAAGATAAAAACAAAACACTTCCCTTTCCTTTGGGAGGTTTCTATACAGTTTATGAGATTATACCTTGGTGGATGACCTGTCATTTCTCCTTATCCAGAGGTTTTTCTTTTTTGACTAGTATCTTGATCAACTTTGATGGTATCCAAAGCTTTGCGGTGGCCTAGCCGGTCTTGGCTCCAAGCCACAGCAGCCATGAGGTACCGCCTGAGTCGGGGAGCATGGGCTTGGAAACTCCTAGCAACCCAACGTCGATAAAGACCAAACACAGGCATCTTGTCATCTCTAGAGAGCTCTCAGTTCCATGCT